CCTGACCCTATCCTCGTTCAAGCCTTAAAGCTTAAAAGAGCATTATGGTGAGAGTGAAATACTCTCATCCCTATAATTAGAGCGGACATGTGTATCACATGTCAGCTCTTATTATAGGGATGAGTGTATTTCACTCTCACCATAATGCTACCACATTAAGCTGCCACATGTCGGCTCTATAGATCTAGTGATCACATACCGCTCTGTTCTCCCTACAAAAAGTGATGACTGTCAGCCTTCGATCCCCACAGGGATTCCTCCCTCCCTCTCTGTTCCTCCAGCGCTGACTGGAGAGACGGATGGGGAGGGGGCAGGCAGAGCCAGCTGTCAATCAGGTGGCGGGGTGGATTGGACAATATTGTCGTGATCTTTCCTGGCCACAGCAGGGCTCTGCGCTGTCTGCATATTTGCAATTTTGGGTCACAGGAGGACATACGGTAGTAAATTTCTACATCAAGTGTGCCCCAGACACGCTCTTCGGCAGAAAAGCTACTGGTCCACCTCAGTTTTCAGACTAATATAGCACCAAAAACCTTCTATGGAACACAAAGACATCTCTGTCTTCTTAGGACAACTCTAGCCATTGTAGACTGCGACATCTCAGGCACAAAATGCACGTTCAAATTCAATGATTCTGCCGGGAAATGGAGATGATGAAGTTTGAATACAGGGACTTCTGGATATAGAATATATGTAAAATAAAAAGATGCCAAGGATATATAACCTAAGTTTAATGATTCTTCTAGTCCTGGATGGAATTCTCATTTAAGTAGTGTCATACTCATGTCTCAACAGGTGTCAACTTACCTGTTCATAGTGCCAGAAGTAACATGTTGCATCAATTCATGATCATCCCCTAGATTACAACATGACAAGTCCAAACTGCGAAGATCCTGAAACGACTTAATCTCTTCTAACTTCTCAGACACTAGGAGGTACCTGTGCATATCAAAATGAGTTATCCCATTAGACTCTTATACATGTGATTGTAGAACTGTAGAATGTATTACCCTTTACATAATATAAATAAAAGAAAAATTTCACAATTTACCAAAGTGATAATGAGATCCACATTTAAAAAAGTAGATTTTAAAGGAAGACACAAAAGGCAGTAAGCGTACAGTACTGTGTAGGCAGTGTACATGGTCAGCAGGGATGATTACTCTACAGCAGCCTAGGGAAAAAGTTCTAAGGGTCAAAAAAGCATTGATTCAGCTACTCCAAGACATTGAGGGTATCAATAGACTGTAATAGTAGAAGACAGGAAAAGAATGCACAAATCGTATGCAATAAAAAAAAAATTATGTGTTTATTAACGTGAAAACCGTTTATAAACTCACAAGTGTCCAATGGTAAACAGTGTATCTCAGGTCAGTGGAGTAACATTAGCAGGATGCAGCCCACAAGCTGTGAATAGTGGCAGGGCAGTGTAATAGTTCTTGTGGGTGGCAGAAGACTCCTGTCTTGTCCTCACTTGGGAGACATCCTGCACCCCTTTCCCAGAGGTGCCCTATGGAGAGTACGGTAGTTTAACCACACACAATCTTTGAAGCAGGTCTCATCCTTAGAGTCTTCTGCCAGCCACAAGAACTATTAGACAGCCCCTCCACTGGCCAGGGTGTGCAGGCTGCATCCAGCTGACTTTAGTCCACTAGCCGGTGATGCACTGTTTACCCCCCGGACACTTGCGAGTTGCTTTCACATTAATAAACAGGTTTATTGCAAGAGATTTGTGTGCTCTCTTCTTGTAGAGATTTGACTTTGCTGAATACCACGACAGATTATTGTAGTGTACAAAAACAAAGGACAAGTACAGTGGATGAAGGAGGGCCAGACCCTTTAAAATGAGCAAGGAAGGACTGGAGTCACAGAGGTGACTCAGGTTCAAGTTCCTGATCCCTGGTGTCCCATCCTATATGATTTAATTCAGTGAAGTTGTCCTTTAAATATTGATAATAGTGAGGGTCAAAGATGAAGAAGCTCTATAGTAAAATATAAAAGTAGAGGTCAACACAGCTCAACACTGCAAAACAAAAAAAATCATTTAAACCTATAAATATGCTACTGCTTGCCCCAGAAGAAGACATACTTGCCCCGCAGACACAGCGATGACAGCATCAGGTCCCCATAGGCCTCTGTGAATTTGCGAAGGGCCACGAGGCCACTATGAGGTTTGGAGAACTGTTGCCTGGACTCAGCGGCAGTGAAAAGCCTCTCTGCGATCTGTTCTGGGAAACCCAGCAAGGAGTCCACATGCTGGATGTTATCAGCAATGAGATCCAGTGCCAGGATGAAGAGAGACTTGGCAGAATAGCGCAAGCTGCCCTCCTCGGTGTACGTGAAGATAAATGGCTTTTCTTTGGGTTTACAGTTATCGTCTTCTTTCACACACAACTCCACAGAAAAACCCTTGGAGAAGAGACGAGGGGTACGAGACTTGACATGCGAGGGCTGTGACCCTGCCCGGAACAGCTGACCCTTCTCACGCACGTAGACAGGTCCAGTGTCCTCATCATTCTGCGATTCTGAGAACCGAAACATAATCTTAAAATAAAGAAGAGTTATTATCAGCGTCTTCCCTGCAGCAACCTTGGTTATAATTCTACTATAGATGTCAGTATTACGATATGCACCCTGCTTCCCATACAATATTTATTTTTTATATGTACATAGCACTAGTATATTACTTCGCACTTTACAGAGCAGGGGGAGGCAACCTCAGCACTCCAGCTGTTGTGGGAATGCATTTCCCATGAGGCACTGCAATACTCTAACAACCATAGGCAGATGCATGATGGGATTTGCAGTTTCACCACAGCTGGATAGCTGAGCTTGCCTACCCCTGTTATAGAACCATTCACATCAGTCCCTGCCCCCCTAAGAGCCAACATTCTAAGGTCTCTGCTATACTCACACCCTACAACAATTGAGAGGATGCCAGGTGAAGTGGATACAAAACCAACCCCTCAAATATTCTCTATAGTCTTTTTTTCTTTTAGAGTACGGAATTGTTAAAATCCCCATCATTTATCTTTCTGTGCTGCCTGGATCCAATTGGGGAACTTTCCCTTTATTTCCTGTTACAGAAAAACAACAGGAAATGGGAAGAAATCTCTTCAAAGTAATTGGAAACCCCTTCTGACACAGTTCTTGCCAAAACAGGTGCCCCCATTGGAAGATTTGTTTCTGTTGCGATGACAAAGGTTTGGATTTTCCATCACTGTCCCAGTTGCAATAGTCATTGTAAATCCCTCCAGTTGGGGGTTATATAGCTATAGAAACCTGAAAAAAGGGGTTCTAACCATTGCTTGAAATACACTTTAACACCTTCCTGCCAGCATAGGGCATATATTCTCTTTATGGCGGAGAGGCATTAATACCAATGGGAGAAGATTTTAAAGTTCCTTCCCTGGATCTTGCTAGCAATGCTGAGCTTATGTGGCAGAACTCATTTTATATAGGTCGTGTTCTAGGCTTGGTCCCGGGTGCATTTTTCATACCGTAGATGTTTTCAAACACATAATTGGGGTTTGCTATAGTTTAATCACATATAACATCAATCTCATCGGCATCACATTAGTAAAACAAAAAAACCTAGGACTTTACCCCGAAAATTCAGTATATACCAGGACTAATCTCACCTCTGCAATGCACTGTTATCCAGCATATAGAGTGAACTCACAGCAGGACAGGACTGCCATCTCTCAGAGGCCCAGACATGGCTGATCTGTAAGATAATAACTGGCAGGGGAGCTCACAGCCGCCTGAGCTTCTCCCTGTCCCTCGGAACCTTTGTCTTCCGGAACCTTTCCTCTGAGCAGCACGGGCGCTTTTTCAGATGCGCTTCCGAGTTATGTGATTCCAACTTCCGGGAGATGCTTCGGTTTCCTAGCAACCCGAAGTAGCGATCTACTGGAGGTGGGAATCGTAGGGAAAAGAAAGGCAGCGAGCGTTGTAAGGCGAAATGACCCGGGCGGGGAACCTGTGTCTGAGCTCTGCCGGGGCCGTGCTGGCTCTGGCCTCCTCCGGCGATGGCAGACACCCGGCTGAGCACATCATAGATGGGTGAGCTCCATACACCTCAACTGCATGGACTAAATGACAGCGGGACGTCTTTGCATTGCCACTCATTAGGCCTCATGTCAGATTGAAGAGCAGTATATGCTTCCCTCCTAGCAGCCAATGAGAGCTTCCCTTTCATGTACCAATCTGCCCTGACAACAGAAAAGACAGAGCCTGATTGGTTGGAAAGAGATATATATATATATCTGCAGCCAGACCCTCCTTACTATGTCCTTCTTTATGTGCAATGTTAGGGTGTGACGGGTCCTCTTTATGGAGACATCAGGGGTCCTTCAGACCCCTTATGTCACCTAGGGATCTCAAAGATGCTGAGGAAGCAGAGATCTGCTTCCCTAGCTTCTTCTCCTGGCTCTGAGAGCCGGAGAATGTAAACAGTGACACCAGAATGTAAACAGTGACCACCTCCGGGGTCCAGTGATCAGAGGAGAGATCAGCGTCTGGAAGCCTGCTGATCTCTCTCCGATCGTTGCGTAGACCCACCGTGCCGATCCCAGGCCTGCAAGCAGCAGCAGCTGTGTCCTTGCTATTAGTGATGGGCTCGGGCGTGTTCGCAACTCCACATGCCGAGCCCCCCAGGAAGCTAGCAGCGCCAATCACAGGCACTGAGACATTTCCCGATCTCTGCAGCTGCGAAACAGGATAATGTCTCAGTACCTGTAATTGGCGCTGTCAGCTTCCTGGCGGGCTCGGCACGTGGAGCTGCGAACACGCCTGAGCCCATCACTATTAAGGATGGGCTCGGGCGTGTTCACAGCTCCACGTGCTGAGCCTTCCAGGAAGCTGACAGCTCACAGCGCCAATCACAGGCACTGAGACATTTCCCGATCTCTGCAGCTGTGGACCGGGAAAATGTCCCAGTATGTGGGATTGCCGCTGCGGCGCTGACAGCTTCCTGGTGGGCTCAGCACGTAAAGCTGCGAACACGCCCGAGCCCATCCTTACTTGGTATAACCACTTCTGTGGCCCGCCGTATATTCACCGGGGTCCCCAGAACTATTGTCCCAAATGGAAGATTTCCCATCTATTCCTGTTCTGGGGACAACACAAAATCTGTTTGTTTTTCACTTTTAGTGATATTGGTCACCAGGGCAAATAGAGAGGGTGAACCTCCCTAACAGGGACATCTGTAACTGTTGATCTGTCACACTGGAGGGCTGCAGGGGAGTCTTTGTTAGACAGAATACAAGGCGTTCTGTGAATGGACTTGAGGAGATCCTGTCATTGATCCACTCCTGCTATGCCCTCGTCCGTTCATGGAACCCCTCGTATTCTGTGAGAAGAATACAAGGCTTTTTGTCAATGGATGAAGGGGAGGGCAAACACTGGGAGCCCCTCACTGTCTTAGCTGCTGCCTGCTGTGTGGACTATCTGGCATCAAAGCAGGTTGGAGTTTTACAGTAAACAGCAGCCGGCCTGACCTAGGATAATCCTAATTATCAGTCATTTATTTCACATGTGTTTGATCCCCAAAAACATGTTTTACTGGTGTTCAGCTTTAATCCTGAGAGCTTGTCATATTGTAACCTATTAAAGAGCTTTGTTTCTTTCCAGGAATGCAGACACATTCTGGACTACAACAGGACTGTTCCCCCAGGAATTCATCATCAGCATGAACACTTTGCAAAAAATTGGAAAAATCACCATTGAAAGCTCACAAAGTAAGACCACAAGCGACCTTCACCTTCTATGCGCAGTATTAATACCAACTGAAAGAGTTTGGATTTGGATCAGCATTTGAACGCACATCAGTTCACTAATAGACAAAGTAATTTGCTGATGTCTGAGCTTCATTATTTAGAATACAAACACAATGCAATCCAGTTTTCACTGCAGGAGCGGCCATCTTGATTAATTGCTTGCAGCCTCCAGGCACAGAACAGACGTAAGACTTTAAACCCCGTTCACACCTGGGCGATTTGTAGCACGTTCTTACGCTCTGCAAAACGCTCAAACACCGAAATCCCATTATTTCCTATGGGTATGGTTCACACCTGGACGTATTATGGGCCGTATGAACGCGCTACAAAACGCCCTACGCCCAAAGAAGTACAGGAGCTTCTTTGGGGTGTATTTGCCACGCATATCCATTGGGATACAGCCAGGTATGTTTTTTTTACCGCAAATCGCGGTAGAAACGCGCATATTCGATACGCCTAGGTGTAACCCCAGCCTTAGGGCTTCTGTAGATGGGTGTTGTTTTTCTGCATTTGACATGTGTACATCAATGACAGCTCTGAGGCTGCATAGGAGCTGCTTTGCTCTGTGTTACGTTACTTTAGATGCAGCAGGCCCTATTGAGATGAATTTGAATTGCAAGCAAAGCATGTCAGACGCAGCCTGTACTTTGCATTCCAACAGTGTTGCCGATGAATGCAAAATGCAGCATGTGACAATGCCTGTCTACACAAGCCTTTATGCAGCTTCCATACATCCTACTGCAAACGTCTAGGGCGTACAAGTATAAGAAATCAAAGCATATGATTTCCCACTACTGATCACTTGGCAGTGGTAGATTTTGGTGATTCCTGCTCAATCGGCTGAAAGTCAAGCCGTGGCTGGCTACGCCTGAACCACCCTGCTCAACAAAATGTGATTTTAAAAATCGTCTGAGCCGGGTGGAAAATTGACAGCTAAACAGTGTTTGCTTTCCATCAGGTGCTGTCACTGTTCAGGTATTAGAGAGCCATGGGTGCTGCAGATCTCTGAGTACAATAGCTATCATTGGAGATCCCTCTATCCACACGCTTTAGCATGGATGGGGGGAACTAATGATTTTCTCTCATTTAGCCATCTCCTTAAAGAAAACATGTAGTTTGAGAAATGCAGAGGCTGCGATTGCTGATCTTCAGACTTTGGATGTACTGAAGTTAGGCAACTGCCATTTTTAGAAGGCGCTGCAATGGCACTCTCCCCTTTCCAGGTATTAATGGACTATATTGTGCTGTGGCCACAAGATGGCAGTGCAGTGTTGGACTCGTAGTTTTCAATAGTGATGGGCTCGGGCGTGTTCGCAGCTCCACGTGCCGAGCCCGCCAGAAAGCTGACAGCGCGCAGCGCCAATCACAGGTACTAAGACATTTTCCCGGACCGCAGCTGCAGAGATCGGGAAATGTCTCAGTGCCTGTGATTGGCGCTGTGAGCTGTCAGCTTCCTGGCGGGCTCAGCACGTGGAGCTGCAAACACGCTCGAGTCCATCCTTAGTTTTCAGCATTCTTTATCATCTGCCTTAGGCTGTCGAAGTACCAGCCCTACAGCTGTGCTTGCCCCAGTTCAAATATGTTGACAAATCTAACTAGCCAATCAGGAGGCCGGATGGCGAGTCATTACCCGCCCCCAGCTTTCTGATTGGCCACCTGGTGTCTTTACACGCCCCCCCGGCTGATCAGGAAGCCAGGTGGGCGAGTCATTACATGCCACCTGGCTTTCCTAATAGGACCTCCGGTACCGGTATTTAGTATTGGCGAGTACCAAACAAAAAAATATTGGTACTCGATACTGAAAAAACAGTTTCTGAGCATCCCTAATTATATTTCCTCTACGAGTTTCAATTTTTGAAACAGGGGCACAAAATGTTGACCAAAGTATGTGTTTGTATATTTGCTTTTATTCTCCGAAGTGCTCTGGGACGTTTTAGATGGAATCTGACTGTGCAACACCAATATTATTCTTTCTGTGTCATTTCACAAAAAGTGCCAAAGGCTTCTTTATACCTGTGTATGGTATGTACAGTGTAAAGTGCTCATCTCATCAGCATTGTGCAGGTCGTCTTCCACAGATGATTCTTGATATGTGTGTGTTTTTATCCTTCTATTGCAGTAAGAAGTATACACATTGAAACAAGCACATCCAAGGAACCAACTAACTTTGAGCGCTGTGTGGAAAGAGGTGAGCGTGTCATTGTGAGCAATGCTTTTGTACATAGTAAGGCTGAAAAAAAACAACCAATGGGAAAAAATAAATTAAAAGAGAACTATGGGGTAAGTGTTTTTCCTCATAGTTCTCTTAAGGGTCACGGGAGGACATATACTAACCTCCTCCCGTGACCCAGAGCTCAGTATATTTTGCGAGCTACATTACTGTGTGAGTGACAGTTGGCTCTGCCTATCTAGAGGCAGAGCCAGCTGTACCCCCGTCCGTTCCTCCAGTCAGCGCTGGAGGAGCGGGGAGGGGGGAATCCCTGCGGGGAGCCGTGACTGACAGTCACGGCTCTCTGCAGGGAGATAATCGAGAAGTGAGCAAGCAACGGTATATGTTCGCTCACTTCCCGATCTATTGAGCCGACGTGTGACAGTTTCATTGTCACACGTTGGCTCGAAACTATGAGGATGAGTGATTTTCACTCACCTCATAGTTCTCCTTTAAGTGAAAACCTATATACAGTACCCTATACTAACAGATGATCCAGAGGAAGGCAAATACATTTATAAAGTGTTGGCCAATTTTCTCCAACAGCCGAGAATAAACATCTGATCCCCTAAGGCAATCGGATATTCCCTGGATCAACAGTCACTGGCGTCTAGAATGTTAACAGCCAACTATATGTTGTGCATTTTGGAACGCTTCCTCATAGAACTAGTTGCTTTTCCACACTTTCCTTCTGTGGAGGTAAAATCTCTTTTTCCTCCAGACGCAAAGAGTGTCCCTTTATCCATTGCAATGACCTTGAGTCCCCATTCACAGTTGCCGTGCATGCGAACATGCACCAAAGTGTGCGCATTGGCACACATTCACACAATGCAGTAAAAACGAGTGACGAGATTGCGGTGTCATTGCTTGCTAATGGCACCCAAAATGCTCATCTTTGCTCACACGTTGACGCGTGCCAAACAGGCAAAAAGCAAATTGCTGCATAAACGTATTTGCCACATTGGTCGCACGAGGGGTAGCCCATTGAAATGATGGGCTGACACGCGGCAAAACCTCCACAAGTGCAGCGCGTGGTCACACAGGCCCTAAGTGTGAATGGGGGATAACGTTATTATACTCAAACTTTTTTCAATAATAAATCCAGATCAAAGAAATACACATTCCCGCCGGGGGCCTTGCCCTGGTTGTTCCATACCTCTTCTCCGACATCCACACACTATGTCTTGCTGCACAGGAGCCTCCTAATGGAGTTATCTCCATATAGCAGGAACTCCCACTAGCTGCCGTATATATAGGCCCTTAGAGCTCCCGTATACAGGCAACCTAGCTGACAGGCCAGCTCTATGACTCTGCTGCCGCATACCTTACCTACCTGGGCATCTTCTGATAATGCTTCTGTGAACAATACACTACCCCCTGGTCTGAGTCGGATGAGTGAGGTGCTCCTTCTGTCCCGTGATTTACCTCTCCTGGTGAAATATCCCCCCCTTCTTTATTTGTTGTTATACCTATAGATGCTATGTTATCTGTATGATTGTTTGTCTTGATTTGTATTGAAAACCTCTAATAAAATCTGATTGAATCAAAAAGAAATACACATTGCCCAGCAACATATTTCCTTCCATTTTTGCCCAAGCACTTACAGTCGTCATGTTCCCAAACTGCTCCATCTCTCTCAGCTCAGCTTTCCTGCACTTCCTGTCCAAAAAAGGATCACAAGGGAGAGCACAATATTCAGCAGCTGTCCTTCTACTGGTTCTTAGTCCTGGGAGAAAGAAAGAGGGGAGCAGGGAGCAGGGGAGCCTTGCTGTGTATGTCTATGGAGGCACACGCCATACTTACTAGCACACACAAGGGTGGCTTCATAATTTTTGATTGCACTGATGTTTTTGGATCTCCAGGGCATGGGTTTTTCATGGGCTTTTCTGCAATTGTCTTGTCTTGTCTTGTAAGTGGCTTGTTCATTTATATACTGATATCATTGTAGCATGATAACTAACATGGATGATGTTTCCACTTGGTTCTAGAGTTTGAGCATGTTGAAGGACAGTTCCAGACTGAGGAAATAACTGTAAGTGTGAAAGTGTGCAAACCTTTCATTAAACCTTTATACTATCGTAAACTTTTCAAATAAAAGTCCTGTCTAGGAGCACACATTACATTATAACTTTTTTTTAGGCAGAAAACCCAAATTAAGACTTTTTCTAGTTCTGGTTTCTCTTTGTTACCAAGGAATCTTCTATACCAGTCTTTCTTAACCAGGGTGCCTTCTGGCTTCCTCGGGGTGCCTAAAATATTTTGCACAGCATTATGCCTTTCCCTAATGTGAAGGGGGGGTCCTTTTGTAAACGGGGATTATGATGTGAAGGGGGGGACACCACTTTTTTGTGTTTTTCAATGGGTGCCCCCTTTAAAATCTATACCAGACCCCTATGTCAGATAAGGGTCTAGTATTGATTTTGAAGGGGCCACATGTCGTTTTTTGTACATTTTACGTTTTTACATTTTAGACTGGAGTCCCTCCGGATTTTGCATACTTTTAAAGGGTGCCATGTCTTTTTTTAGGTTAGGAAATGCTGGTATATACTGACTTAGGGACTAAGCTCCTCCTACCAGACCTAAACCCTACACATTCACGATCCCTCTGTCCAATGAGAACACCTCAGTGATCAGCAACAGTGATGTCATTGGACAAGAGACGGAACAGTGGGAGGCATTTAGTATTGGGGCAGGACTCCATTTACTAGCTGGATATGGGAATACAAAATATAAATCAGTCTTGTATTTATTTAAAGGGACACTGAACTCAGGAAATTATCTCTGAATAGGTGCTGACACTGTCATTCCTTCTGGAGGGTGGCAACTTTTGTTCCCCATGGTCCCTGTGTGTGTTGTAAAGTAGTCACCGCTCCAAGCTCACTCCTGTTGATGGACTACAATCACAATACAAATTAGTAAACTAAACATGAGATTGTAGTTCATCACAGGAGCGAGCTTTGAGCGGTGGCTACTTTACAACACACAGGGACCATGGGGAACAAATGTAGCCCCCCTCCAGAAGGAGGACAGTGTTAGCACCAATTATTATTATTGTTCAGGATTTATATAGCGCCAACAGTTTGCGCAGCGCTTTACAATATAAAGAAGACATTACAATCACAACACAATTCAAGACAAGATGGTAAGGAGGGCCCTGCCCCTGAGGGCTTACAATCTAAAAGGGAGGGGCCAGTGATACATGAGGAGGTAGCTGTGTGGGGATGAATTCAGAGATGATTTGAGGATCTACAGCTGAGTGATACACACATAAGATACATTGAAGGGAATTTATCAAAACTGGAGCAGACAAAATCTGGAGCAGCTCTGCATGGCAACCAATCAGCTTCTATCTTTAATTTTCAAATCTTAACTGAACAGAGAAGCTGATGATAATGCAGAGCTGCTCCAGATTTTGTCTGCTCCAATTTTGATACATTTCCCCCGTTGCTGTTAATAGTTAGGGTACTTGAATGTATCTTTAAGAATTAACTCCTGAGTTTAGTGTCACGTTTAATTTTTTTTTTATTCAGCCTGAAAGTTCAAACTTATTTGGTGATTAATGATTTTCAATTAACTACGTAACCGAACTAAAGAAACGTCTTTATATTTACCTGGAGTTTTGTTTGACTTTACATTCTGTTTAAGAATTTTGTTTAGCTGAGTGCAATCTTCAACATTATCAGCAATTTCAGGGTAAAAAAAACAAGTTGACTGACCAGATCTCAATGATATTTTCTGGATAAAAAGTCAACTGTAGCAAAACAGGTCTGGTCACATTTTCAGTTTTATCTAATCTTTCAGTTTAGATGATTCTGTAATATGTCTCAATTACTTGGTAAACAACCGTAAGATTAACGCACAAATGCAGGTACCACCATTCGGCGTCTTTATTAATAGACCTTTATTCCAATAACACAGATGAGCCCCGCCTATACAGCCACACACCTCTAACATGTTTCACCACTCAGGCTTAATCATGGAGGAATTGGAGCGGTGATATTTTTTACTTTTATATCTGAATTACTGATACTTTTAATACTGTGCGGTCACATATAAGGAAATGCACTAAGAGCAACTGAATTTGGTGACAGAGATTTGGACTGTGAGCCATGCACAAGTCATTAATTACAAATTTCTGTCCTTTAAAGGATCTACCACAAAGGATAACAACAATGTAATATATTTTAGCTCACCAGTCCTTACTGACTGTATTAGTTTTTATTTTTCAGGCTAAGAACATTTTTAGCAAGTATATAAAATACATTTAGCTCTTTCCTGAGTCCTTGTCACATCCTGTGAGTTGAGCTGAACCAAAACAATCTTATCTTCCTTCTGTGAACTACTAATCTCCCACCCACCATATAAAGATGACAAATAAAGACAGGCATGCTTGTAGTTCAGCTTGGGTGACGACCATGGCTCCCTTCATATATACTGTGGATGAGTGAGCGTAACCACCCAGGGACAGATAGTGTGTTATGCACAGGATTTTCTTGGCTGCGGTGCCATTGACTTCAATGCACCGCCACGCCCGCACCCGCCCCTGAATGCAGGTGTTTTTTCGTTGGTACATCTCAATGAGCTCGTCATTTGAAAAGTAGATCTCCAGACGAAAAATAGTGGGCGCCCCTGTTCTAGGGGAAAATACAGGAAACAAGAAAATGAATGCAGCCACCACATCTCAGGACTAGTAAGTGGCAATATATTAAATTCTTGATTTTGGGTTTAGATACACTTTAAGTTATTCTACATATCTATATATGTAAATTTTTTACAAAACTGTATTTGTTATCAATAAACATTTCTTCACATTTTAAAAATATTTCATTCTCCCAGCTTCCTGGAGTTCAAGCGATCCATTTGCGCTTTGTGATCTTGTCTGGGTTTGATCACTTTGTAGCTGTGCGCAGTGTGTCAGCAGAAAGTGTGATGTAAACTTCCCTGCATTGCAATGAATATAAGAAGGCAGGAAATCTGGAATCACTACATGAAGGAACTATTTATCATGATTCACTTTTTTATTGTATTTTTATAAATAAAAAAATATTGTGATTGACCATACTGCGTATTTACAGAACTCCACATAGCACTGTCTACATTTAAATTGACCACGTAACATGACGACTTTGGTCTGTCTCCATTCCCACGTGGTGCAATGACTGCCTGCTATGGGAAAAAGGAGATAGAAAAATTATCTGTGGGTAGACAGGTATTCTTTACACTAACCCTGACTCTAGTGTGATAATGTACAGTATTTATGAACTCTGTTTCAGTTCAAACTGTTTCAGTTACATTGTAGTCAGTCTTAATGACTTGATGGCCACCTTCTTCTGGCTTTTATGGTGGCTTGCCAGAAGGACCTGAATGAGCAAGAAGGCCAAAGTCAGTGGTATGTTAGGAAAAGTAACAGTATTCAGGGCGTAACTAGCATTGAGTTTTAAAGAGAACTAGTTTTAGGTGAAGGCTGTTGGGTTCATTGACAGACTGTCTTCTTATATGTGATATCCTAGGCTTTTGTTTTCCCACCGCCTCCCATCTGCTCCAGCCACTGTATTGGATCACGCTGTCTTTTTGGTGTTATCTTGCATTCTTCAATATGATGTAGAATGCAGCAGAAGACGTGAGACAAGATGATGGCAGAGGACCTCAGGGAGGTAGATTTTTGTAGAAAGCAGGTGGATGATAGTTTGGTCTACCAGTAACTGAAGCATTTTTGTGATGGCTGGTACATATTGGCTGGTTATCAGGAGGAATTTGTTTTCTAATCCACAGTATATATATATATAATGTGTGTGTGTATACAGTGTATATATCATTGATTATCTTGTTACAACAGTACCTGGAAGTCGGTGGGATATATTACACAGAAAGTGAACATTTTGTCCCTGAAGTTGATGTGTTGGACACAGAAAAATGGGCAAGTGTATGGATCTGAGCGACTCTGACAAGGGCCAAATTGTGGTGGCTAGACAACTGGGCAAACTCCAAAACTGCAGCTCTTGTGGGATGTTCCCATTCTGCAGTGGTCAGGACCTACCAAAGGTGGTCCAAGGAAGGAAAACCAGTGAGCTGGTGACAGGGTCATCGGCGGCCAAGGTTCATTAATGCACATGGGGTGCAAAGGCTGGCCTGTGTAGTCCAATCCAAAAGAAGAGCTACAGTGTCTCAAATTGCTGAACATGTTAATGCTGGCTGTGATAGAAAGGTTTCTGAACAACACAGTACATCGTGGTTTGTTGCTGGTAAGGGTGCCCATGCTGACCTGTGTCCACCACTGAAAGAGCCTACAATGGGCACGTGAGCATCAGAACTAGGCCACGGAGCAATGGAAGAAGGTGGCCTGGTCTGATGAATCACATTTTCTTTTACATCATGTGGATGGCCGAGTGCGTGTGTGTCACTTACCTGGGGAAGAGATGGCACCAAGGTGCACTATGGGAAGAAGGCAAGGGTCCTGCCATTCATGTGTATGTCACTTTGACATGTACCATCTACCTAAACATTGTTGCTGACCAAGTACACTCCTTCACGGAAATGGTATTCCCTGATTGCAGTGGCCTCTTTCAGCAGGTAATGCACCCTGCCCACTGCACAAATGGTGATATTCTCCATATATTCTGTATTCCTATAGATGATGCACAAAATGACACAGAAATGTTGAAGTTTGTTGTCCACTTTATTGGAGAATCTAAATGAAATGTTTTGGTTTGGGTTTAGTCTATATAGACCCAAACAATGAACTGCCCTTTATTGATATATTAATGTTATCTTATAATGCAGTATGTTGATCCTCAGAGCTGTCCTGTGCACACGTCTTTTTTCATCTCAAGGATTCCTCCCAGTTCTTATCTTGGACTACATACCAATTACTCTGTATGTTGTGGAGAAGAAGAGAGGTAAAAGAGTTCAGGGATTTAACAAAAGCCAAATGGACAGAGCTGACACCATTCCTTGCAATTTCAGTTCAGAAAATGGCATGTGCTGTCAGTCCCCCTTAGGAAATAAGTAAATTCCTGTCACATCAACAGGTATGTTACTGTACTTGCAGTGTCTGAAACGGGATACAGCTTGCATAATTGTGCATGTATTGCAGAGATGTACTACTATTTGCCCTCAAATACACTTTAAATAATTGACCAAAACACCCCATTCATTTTTTTCTTTATTTGTGTACAGAACTCACATCGCCATCAGTTATCTGCAATATCAGGCTGAGGCCAGCAAGGCTTTAAGCCACATCCTTCACAAACAAATACATTGTGGAACGTGAGTCTGAGTACAGAGCTTTGATGAGACAAGATGAGAAAGGAGGCATTGATGTTTTTCAGGATTCATTTGTAAAATCTGGAGTAAGAGAAACATGGACATATTTCCTGTACCAACCGTGGTCAGCTTCTGGCTACTACAGGGTTTTGTAGGATCACTGTGGCCCTACCTGGGATAAATTATGTATAATTACATTAGGACAAGCTGGACCAAAGTAAGTATATATATATATATACATATCTTTATATCTGGAGTTCAACACTTAGGTATAAAGTTGGCTGTGCACACTTAGAATTTATCTCATTCAGTCCCAGGCGCTGAATGAGACCGTGCCATCCACAGCTCAAGTTTTGGCCAATTCATCAGATGAAAGTCAAGCAGTGTATGGCCAGCTTTAGACATTTTAGACACAGGTTAACATACTTGAATCAATGGCTGGGCTGGTCACTCAAATTATTACTCTGGTTGTATTTTGTTTGGTTGGGGCTGACACCCCAAAACAAGTCTATTTCTGTTGCTTGTGGCTGCGGAGCACCACATACAGTTTCATTTGAATACACAACATCCATCATTGTATGCAGGTAGGAGAATCCATGGCTGGTCTGTCGCTAGTTCTGAGCTTTTCTTCTGTCACTGTCGAGTTGGAGGTGACACCCAGACAATTTATTTTTCTCAAGAACAGAACGCACTTCTTCTGGCTTGTAGCCCCAGGGACCCATGTTGCCCTGTAATTAATGCATTAGATCCTTTGCATTAATCAGATTACACAATCCATTGAGCGCATTATATAATTTTGCTTACATGAACAGTCATGTTTACCTTATTAATACAAGGAATTCAAAGTTGTACAAGCAATCCCTTGTAAACAACAACGTGGGGCACGGTTATGATCTAGAGTTCCTAATATTGGCCTGCAGGAATGCCAGTTGACTTGCCCTGGTGGGACCTATGCACACACCTGCTGCCATGATATATGGGGGTAATGGTGGGGCTTAGTGGAAGGGGGAGCTTTGCAATTCAGATGGTTTATGATCTGATCCCTGAGGCAGAATTTCCTGTCTGCGGAGGTGTGTAGGTCTTCTAAGTTGTCTAGCTCTTATTACTGCCATAGATGAGCACAGGCATGAATTAGGCGCGTCATTAAGAACTGCCCTCTGCACAAGTCTGGGCCACAATACTTAGCTCTTTTTCAATAACCTTCCAAACCTCAGGGTTCCATACACTGTGCATTCCTGAGCATTAGACTATGTTAAAGGAAACCTTTCAAAAAAAATTAAGTAGGCTCCCATTGGTGAACTTGTCCCCAAAATGCTACTTGCTTGCATCCCCTAAACTTCAAACTCCTGACACATGGGTCACTTAACACAGGTAATTGGAGGCTCTAGTAATGAACCTGGGCTTGGTGCAAACCCTGTTCACCTGAGTTAAGCCAAGTGCACTCAAAACACCCTCCTCCCGATCCAATCAGTGGCGGCAGTTGCGGTGGGGTAATTGCTCGCCCCTTTGTGACGTATGGCTGCAGGGCGGAGAATGCACCTGCAACTGATTGCGCCAGGAGTGGGGTGACAGTCACAGCTTTGAGTGTTCTTGGGCGAACTCTGCATTTGCACCAACCTCGGGCTCGTCACTAGCAGACACCACTGTTATAGCAGAAACATTTTAGGCCAGGATAGATTTAACATCCTAAACCAGGGGTGGCAAACTCAAATTCATCGGGGGCCGCATCAGCAGTATGGTTACCCTCAAAGGGCCGGTTGTATAGGACTTGTACGGCTCTCACGGGGGACCCGAACGTCCCGGATCGCCTCTGTAGTCCGGCCGGTCACAATCAGGCAGCGGCGCTGACCTCTAAACAGGCAGATTAGACGGCCGCTTGCAGGGTTCTCCCGGGGTCCTAGCGAGGAGGAAGCAGCCGTCTAACCTACCTGTTTATTGGCCGCCGCTGCCTAATTGTGACTGGCCCGGATCGCATACCAAGGCGATCCGGGTCAGTCGGATCTATTTCAATTGGTGGTCCCTGAACGCAGTGGTGTATTGGGGCTGCCCTAGGCAAGGCAAAACTCGGGCACCCCCACTAAATTTACCCCACCCCTTCCTGTTTAATACTTTTTGGCAACCTTTTTGGGAATGCTCAGCTCCCATACACCATACATCCAGTATGAGACTAGAATTGTGAGTGTAGTTATGTCAGTTTTCCACCCTCATCATACCTTTGCATTGTCAACATACCAGTTACAACAGACTTCCAATTACTTCCTGTCTCATGCCGCTCCGTCCCCGTCTCTTCATCGCAGCCTCGATCTCACTCTGTCTCCGCCCTCTGTCTCATGCAGCTCCGCTGTGCCTGAACCTTGGCAAAATGAGGTGGCTGCTGTGCGGGCCATATTACAAGGTCCGGCGGGCCGGATTCGGCCCGCGGGCCTTGTGTTTGCCACCCCTGTCCTAAACCTTAAAGTATATCTAAAGCGGAAAATATTTTTTTGGTTTTCAATAGATTAGGGATGTTTTGCAGTCTGTGTCCCATTGGGCAGATTTACTTATACTTCCTGTTCTGCAGATACAATAAGAAGTGAGGGAAATCCTCTCATCCTCGGCACCGACAACCCACGCTTCACCACTGTATTTTATACTTGCTGAATAATGAAAACGAATGAATCTACCACATCTAAGGACTGGTCAGCTACAATATATGTATTTATTGGTCTTGGGTTTAGATGTCTTTTAGGTATGTGCCTATGAGATCATAAATACAAAACAACTCATTATCTACCCCAGAGAATCAGACTTTGAACTGACAGTATAATGCACTATGAAGTATTACCTTATAAACAATTTTGCTCTCTTGTAGGATGTAAAGCCTCTCAGGGAGGGCAGCATACTTGGCACTGCACAAGTTTTCCATCGTGTCTAACACTACGGGACAAGAAGGCAGCTCCTTAAGCAGACGTCTAGCTGCTACCCGGCGGTCCTGAATGTTCTGATGCTTCTTTATTGAGATGTTGTTTTTTAAGGCCCATTCATCTAGAACAGAAAATGCGTGCATAGAAATATCATTGCCACTATGCAGCTAGACCAGAGCAATGGTGTGCAGACTACACTGGAGCAAGTGTATACAGGCAGAAGTGGCTGAAAGAGACTGGAGGGGGATGCAATACAGAATTTTAAAAAAGGTGAAAAAAGTATTTTATGAAGAAAAGAAAAATGCTGGCAATTTCTTATTATACACCGTGCTTTAGCACACTAAGGTCATCTAATTTGGGTTTATTTGGAAAAGGTAAGCAGGAGAAATCAAACATATACATGGTATGGATATATAGTACAGCGTGCATATAAAATGTAAAAACATAAATAGAAAAAAAAACATGTGCCCCCCAAAATCTATATCGGAACCCTTATCTGACATAGGGGTCTGGTATAGATTTTAAGAAAGGAGCCCATGCAAAAATACTAAAAAGTGGGGTTCCCCACTTCAAATCAGGAGTCTCCCTTCACATTAGGAGTCCCCGGCACCCCCCTTTACATCAATATAAATAAACATGAGAATGCCTAAACATTTGTAATTGCAACAATTATCTGACAGAAATGCAGGGGTGCCAATATTTTTTGGCTATGACTGTATGTAACAAAGTTATACTTGAACATATGGCAGTCACGTATAGCAGAGCCCAATGCACATACCAGTATGTGGGTACCTGTAAGAGTAATAGAGATATACCTTCTGCATGAGCCTCATCAATGTAGATAATCAAGAAATCAGCCACGGAGTTGAAATCCTGGACAAGCTTATTAAACTCGCTGAGCTTAAACAGGAACGGGGGTCATGTACAGCTTCCGAATGTGAGAACCAATGGCCGCTGACCTGCAGAAATCAACAAAGCAGGATTGTTTTACCATGTGTAAGAAACATCAAGTATAGGTAAAACAAATACAGTTCTATCAAATATAGATTGGTGTATTGGTTCTCTAGTCAAGTCCTACAGGTATTTCTTACTTTGATAATATTATCTCTAAACTACTGTTACCAATTTTCTATATAGGCAAAACTGAACTTGAAGCTTAAAGGAGGACTATGAGGGGAGTGATTTTCACTCAGCCTCATACTCTGTGCCATTTGTTTTGCTATACTGAGCTGTGGGTCACGGGCGAACGCTAGTTTGTGTTCTCCCGTGACCCTTAGGAGAACTATGGGGAAAAGCCCTGACCCCATAGTTCTCCTTTAAAGGGAACCTGTCATGACTTAAATTGTGTTTAAAGGGAATCTGTTACTTTTTTTTGTCCTTGAGTTGCAAATGTATGTGATCCGATGCAACCGAGCATTAATCGGCAGCATTTATCTTGCCAGAAACCTTGTAAGTTGATAACTTCCTGTGCTCTCTGACGCTGTTGAACTGTTATCAGTTACATTGTTCCCAGCTATCTGATGAATACAGAACCCTTCCTTCTATGTTATGGAGATAAGGAGAGAGGGAAATGTTTGTAGACCAAATCAGGAAAACGGCCTCGGGCGGCAATGCTACTCCTACATAGGTACAGTACGGTAAATATGTGTTGTCACCCTAGTACAGGGAGTGTGTTAATGGCATAAAAATAAATGGGAAAACTAATGCAGTCACCACATCTAAGGTCTGGTAAGCTGCAATACATTACATTTGTGTTCTTGGGTTTAGATACACTTTTTTACCTTGGCCAAAGTAACAAAGAAATCTAATGATTCACTCTTCACAAATGAACTGCAGTGACACAATGATCTATAACAACATTCTTTGTACTATGTACAGTGTCAGTCATGATTCTGTGTGTGTAAGGACTATAGGATGGCTCCACGCCGTTGCATAATATTATAGATTTAACATACTGAAATGTCAGCAGATTATAGCTTTGGCCTGGGAAACATTATCTATCCCCTTCCACTAAGTTAGGACTCACCTCCATGGCTTTAGGATTAATGAGATGCTTTCTAGTATCTTAAATGACACCCGTGACAACTTCCTTAAAGATGAACTTGTGCCATACTATCCCACTGTTTGTACTTTATCTGAAGTGCAGAAAGTTTGCAGTTTAAAGCGATATAAAAATTAAAAGGTTTTGAAACTATTGCAAATACTGAAATCACTTACAATAGATGCTGCTCCTTGATGTTTAAAAGTTTTAGTTTCCTGCAGAATCAGCTGGTTTCCTGAGCACTGGTCCTGATATCCTGTTTCAGGGCCCGTTCACACCAGTTAGTGTGATCCCAGTTCATTTTATTACTTCATTGCTGTGCTGTATGTGTATAGGCCAATGTCGTTGGATCTGTATGTGCGTTATAATTAATCGATTTTAAAAACTTTCGATTAATCGTACACGAAAATTTTTATAATTACCAGCCCTAATATTATTGTTATAGTTGCACTCAAATAATGCACATTTAAAAAAAAACAGGAGCACAGTGATGAAGTTCTATTTGTAGCACCTCAGATATTTATACCGAAAGGCTTATTCAGTAATGCAATAACCCACAGCACTTTTTTCTCCCCACTTTTATCGAAAGGTTTATCGTACAAACGCTGGTTACCCTTGCTCTTTTTAAGGCAATGAAGCAATGCATTTCTCAGTGATGAGGCTCCACTGAACTGAAGTCTGTTAAGTTGCTCTGGGATACTTCACTTTGCTGTTTGAGCACCCTTTTGAACACACAATACACCCCCCTCCCCACACACACACACCTAGTTATATTAATAAATGACCACAAACCCTTGCTTTATGAACTACTCAATGCCTGCGGCTTTAGGTCCCACAGTGCAGCTTCCCTGAAGTTCCGCATAAGGAAGCGTGCACCCTGAGAGCTTCACACTGATAGAGCACCAGGGATGGCACGTGGAGCAGGGGAATGGCTTGTGCCGAGTTATCTGCTTGTATGGACGCAAAAAGACTTGTTCATAGTTCCAGCAGGGAGCGCACACGCACAGGTGGCTCCATGGGACCCTATAAGGTCACCTGAAAACAGGGGCAAAGTAAGAGCATTTTAGGAGATGTAAAGCAAAGCAGCTACAAGCTTACAAAGAAAAGGACACAGTATACCGGGTGAAGCTCAGGTCTGCAGCATTATATTATTATATGGCCCAAATTTCTGAGATGAGAAAGAGGGACACCTTCCAGCACATTGAGGGGCATTTTACTAAAACTGGAGCAGTGGTGCGTCTTCACCAATTAGCTTCCAGATTTCCTTTTTTAAAGCTTAACTTAGTAAACTGAAGGTAGAAGCTGATTGGTTGCCATGCACAGCCGTTTCATATATTTTGTCTGCTCCGGTTTTTGTAAATCCCCCCCCCAATGTATTTAGGCAATGGACACGTCCCCAGTTGTGTGGACCATTAAGAATTAATATGACAAAAATGATTGGCTGAACCTAAAATTGTTTTTTTTTCACCAATACCTTTCCTTTATATTGCCTTAAGATAATTAGGAGTTTTGGTAGTTAAAGGAGAACTATGAGGTGAGTGATTTCCACTCATCCTCATAGTTAGAGCCAACCTGTGACAATGAAACTGTCACACGTCGGCTCTATAGATCGGGAAGTGAGCAGAAACATGCACCGATTGGCTTACTTCTCGGTCATCTCCCTGCAGTGAACGGTGACGGGCAGTCACCGCACCCCGCAGTGATTCCCCCCTCGCCTCTCTGATCCTCCAGCGTTGACTGGAGGAACGGGAGGGGGCGGGCACAGCTGGCTCTGCCTCTACATAGGCAGAGCTCGCTGTCACTCACGCAGCTGGGTGGATCCAGATAGTATTGTGGGGATCCGTCACGGCTGCCGTGCTCTCAGTATATCGCGGGCAATAGCCCGGGATATACTGAGCTTTGGGTCACGGGAGGAGGTTAGTATATGTCCTCCCATGACCCTAAAGAGAACTATGGGGAAAAACACTTACCACATAGTTCTCTTTTAAATAGAATGGGCAAGGGTACTTTTTTTTAAGTTCCCAGAATTCTTCTTTAATAACACTTTAAAGTAGTATTAAACTCTCAAAATATTCAGATCAAACAAATATACATTGTCTAGCAAAAGTATTTTTTTACATTTTTACTCAAGCACTTACAGTTATCATGTTCCTGAACAGCTCCAACTCTCTCAGCTCTGCTTCCTTGAACTTCCTGTCCAGTACAAGGACACAATGGAGAGCACAGCCTCTAGCAGCTGTCCATCTACTAGCTTGGAGAAGGCAGATTGGGAGCAGGGGGCAGGAAGTGTCTTTCCTTGCTATACCTGTGTGTTTGTGGAGACACACAACTTACTAGTATACACAAGGGTGGCTCCATAGGACCCTGCAAGGTAAAGGAGCCACCCAAAAACAGGATATCAGGGTCAGTGCTCAGGGGATCATCTGATTCTGCAGGAAGCTAAAACTTTTAAACATTAAAAAGCAGCATCCATTGCAAGTGATTTCATCAGCATTTGAAGCTTAAAAAGGTGTAGACTTTAATATCCTTTTAAACTACCCCAAACATGCCTGCTGCACTGCTGCCCTTCATATTTAGTAGCAAGTGTCCTGTGCAGTCTTTGCACGCCTATTGAGCATTTAAGCGGTGAATGAAGAAGACATACGCAGCACCTACCTTTAAAATAATCCCAAATGTGGTGCTGTTCACCATCCAGGTCCACCACAGGTGTGTTAGGGGCAGATTCCCCCAAAAACGCTTCATCTTCCAGGCGCAGCCACATGATTTGCAGCACAGACCACAAGAACTTGAAGGTGAAGACGGTGGGTCCCCAGTCTTCGTACTGAAACCTTGGCACGTGAGCGCTGGACATCTCAAATCGGGATTTCAGCACTGAAGCCATGGTCTGTGGGAAGAGAAGCATGAGGAGTCTGCCTACTGCCACATACAGAAAGAGAGAACAGAAGATCAGCGTCTTCTGCACATAGCGAACGATGAGTTTTATCCTCTGGACAGACATCGACGCCGAATCAACCCAACTTGCAACTGTGGAATTCAGCACTCACGCTGGGTTCTTTATTAGTAGCCTAACCTGCTTCATGGGGACTGTCCCCTAGAGGAACTATTTTCTGGCAGCAAGAACATATAGGTGTTTCCTTTCCAGAGACACGCTATCTGCTGTCATGTGACCGAGGGGAAGAATCTGCTACAACCGTGTTTATCTATGTTAAAGTGTAGCCAAGCCTTGTATCATAAAATCAGATTTACACGCAATCTACTTCAGCTTCTCTCTTCAGTTTGTTCAGTTAAGATTTGAAAATGAAAGAGAGAAGCTGATTGGTTTCCATGCACAGCTGCTCCAGATTTTGATAAAATGTGCAAAAGCTCACCTGAGAGAGGGCGATATATGGTAGCTATGTACACACTGTTTGCAATGATTTATTGCATTATGGCAGCTCACAGGAGAGAGGGAGATATACACTCACTGGCCACTTTATTAGGTACATGTAGGTAGGTGCAGTATGTCCAACGGCCACTAGATGCCCCCATGGGGCCCTGGAGATAGATGCAGCTCTGGCCTGGGAAGACTCTGTGTCCCAGGAGAGCTGATTTATAGGGGGCGCCCAAGAGGGGAAGCAGTTCAGTTCAGTGGAGTTCAGAGGAGTACAGGAGAAGTCTAAGGCCCCATTTACACCGCGCGATATCGCGCAAATGCTTGCATTGAGCAAGCGAGAATCGCGGCAAAATCCGCTCCAAAAAGGGTCCTGCTGTAGCGACACACGACCCGCGACAGCAGGACCCTTTGCCCCATTGCAAAGCATTGAAGAGCGATATCGCGCGGTAAATAGCCGCGGTATCGCGGGAATTACCGCGCGATAAATCGCTCAATGTGAACGGGGCCTAAGACTGTCTGCAGAGTCTCTGGCGAGAGACTGATTCTGAACATAGGCTGGTCCATGGGAAGGACAGGACCAGGCCTAGGATGATGTAGAGCTACAAAGATTCCCTAGTTTCCCCACGGGGGAAACCCACCGTGCTAGGACTGACAATGGATGGGATTCCGGAGAATAGTGAAGTGCTATAAGACTGACGATATTTGCCAGTGGGCCTCTGGCCGAAGTAAGTCCTGGACTCTGGGCTGCACCTGGGCTGATGTACCTCTCTCTCTCTCTCTCTCTCTCTAAATTGTAACACTATGCAACTATCAAGAATTGTGCCGTCATCCCACCCGGGGGTGGCTGAACGTATACTTGGTTCTGTTTATACCTTCAAGTAAAACCAACAAAAAGACTATGTGTGTGGACTGGTTCTTCTCCCTCCAACCTCTGAGAAGGTGGGGTTCTACCGGAGTGTGATGTATCGTGGCTGTAACCATCCGGAGGAGGGTAGGTGTGCCTTGGGGCTATGCCTGACACAGGGTGCCGTTCATGGTGGCCTTTCTCCCTAAGGGGGAGGAAGTGCCGAGTCCCGCAGAGGTGGTGGAAGCCATGAGGCCCTGTGTGCGCAGTACTACACGTGTGGGAGTGTTTGCACAAGGCCGTGGCACCTGACCGTGGGGTGTCTGGTTTTCGAGTTGCAGGCACGGGGTTACACAGCCAACTCAAAGGGAACACACACGCAACACCCCGAGAGTGGACCCCGCCTACATACACCTTGCTAGCTGAAATATGCCCAGGTGGGAACCATGCTCATAGGCAATTATTGATTTTCACATGTTGAGCATTTTACAGCGCGTCGATCAGCCCTGTAAAACGCCCAGGTGTGAACCAGGATTTAGAGAGTTTGGTCCATACTGACATGATAGCATCACACTGTTGCTGCAGATTTATCCATGATGCGGAGCTCCACCAGCCTGAACCGTTGATACAAGGCAGGATGGATCCATTCTTTCATGTTGTTTATATCAAATTCTGACCCGACCATCCGAATGTCGCAAAAGAAATGGAAACTCAACAGACCAGGCAATGTTTTTCCAATCTTCTATTTTACAATTTTTGTGAGCCCTTGCAAGCTGTAGCCTCCGTTTCCTGTTCTTAGCTGACAGAAGTGGCACCCGGTGTGGTCTTCTGTGGCTGTAGCCCATCTGCTTCAAGGTTCAATGTGTTGTGTGTTCCGAGATGCTCTTCTGCTTACCTCGGATGTAACGAGGGGTTATTTGAGTTACTTTTGCCTTTCTATCAGCTTGAACCAGTCTGGCCATTCTCCTCTGACCTCTGGCTTCAACAAGGTATTCTAGCCCTGAGACCTGCCACTCACTGGATATTTTCTCTTTTTCGGACCATTCCCTGTAAACCAGAGTGATGGTTGTGTATGAAAATCCCAGTAGATCAGCAGTTGCTGAAATACTCACACCAGCCTGTCTGGCACCAATGACCATGCCATCTTCAAAGTCACTCAAATCACCTTTTTTTCCCCATTCTGATGCTCGGTTTGAATGTCAGCAGACCATCTTGACCATGTCTACATGCCTAAATGTATTGAGTTACTGCCAAGTGATTGGCTCATTAGATATTTGTGTTAACGAGCAACTGCTCCAGATTTTGACCGCTCCAGTTTTGATAAATTCCCCTTATTGTATCTTAGAGGTTGTGTAAGGCCTGCTAAAGTCAGTGAGATGGTTGGAAAAGGTAAAATGGTTCCTAAGTTGAGACTGGACCAATATAGGATCCTTGATGATTATGTCTAGTTTTATAAGAACAATAGCCCTCCAGGGCAGCACATTCTTTCTAGTGCTTTCCCCCAGGGATCGCCGCTCCAGTCATCCAGCACTAGTCCTCTTCCGAGTCAAATGACGCCCAGTATCATTCAACCTACTTCCTGTGAGCCTAGGGCGTCAAGGACCCGCCCTGGACCCGCAGGAGATTGCAGAAGAGTGGCGCTGCTCTTTGCAGCATTTAGGGACCACAAACTGCCAGAGGACCTGCGACATTATGTGATCAGACTAAAGACTTCTGTAGATAAGGAGTGTGTAAATGGGGGCTGGGGGAGTTGGGGCTTTGATTCATATACACGGTTATAAGTATACAATACGTATACATTCTGAATTATTTAATATAAACACAGCCTCATTCAATTCACATACACTCATTGATATAGACCTGACAAGTGACGGGGTATGGTGTAATGGAGTTACATTGTCAGTGGCTGTCAAATGAGCGCCGCGGGACCCTGAAGAAACGTGGGAGACGTGTCAGCGACCTCGGATGGCGAGATGATTGGAGAATGGACTTGTCATGTCTGCAGGAAGACACACTGAGAGAGAATTAACATTTGCAGAATAAAAGTAATGGCAGCGTCCATGTTTCTCTTAGGAATTGTTTTTCTTTTAAATGCAAAGTTTTTTCCTTTTTTTTTATTTTTGGTCTAATTAGTCTTACAAACCAACATTTACAAAGACAAAGCTTGAAAAGCAGGAAGTAGCCCTTGAAATTTGACATCGTGTAATACACGTTAAATGATTATCATTGTCTCTGTCGTCATGGTTACACTTTACCCCCCCTCCCCCCCAGCACTATAAATTCCTCCATCAACTTCCACACACTAGGTCACGTGACGCAGATCCGCTTTCTTTCAGGACACAGCCGGCTGGACCTCACGGGAGGCGTGGTCACGGTTTCCCCGCGCCTCCATTGGCTGCGGGCTGTCACATGACCAGATCGCTGCTTAGACTTCCGGCAACAAGTGGAGCTGCATGGTGACGTGATCCAAGCTGTAAGTGATTGTATATGGTGGGCTGTGATGTGACTGCGCTCCCCTCCAACCCAGGCCTGTGACACAGCCCGATCGGGTGCACAGGACGCAGGGTGGGCGAGCTCCACTATTCATGTGTTCACGACTCCTGCTGGACCTTCTGGTTTATAATGTGATGTGCCTCAGTGGCAGTGAGGCATCATTGTAGATCAATGACCATGAGTTGTGGGCACATCTACACAGGACTGTGTGGACACCTCTGGCATGGGTGGGAGGAAAACTTTAATTTAGGATAGCACTCCAGGGACAGAAGCAGGCCCCTGCTTTGAGGGGTATACATATATATAGTGCTTATGCCAATTCTCAACCATTTTAACCCCTCAAATGACGTGTCATGTGTGCAGCACTATGTATGACAACTGCAGATCTGAATGAATGACACCGTCTTCACTGGATGGGGTTGGGGGGTGTCACAGCATGGAAACGAATCTGAGGTTGGCAAATAAATCTGTATTTTTAAACATCCAAGACCTTCTAGCAGGAAGAAAAATGCAGATTTTGTTTCATTACTGGATAGGATAGGAGGGTTTCGTATTTTTCCACAGTCATCATTAGATTTATCCTTTCATTCTCCACCTGTCATTTTCTAGAGCAGGTTTAAATGTGATCTTATATTCAGATTTTTTTTCTTTAACCCAGAAAAACTGGGTTAGTTGTGAAACTAATACGTTTTCCAGTAACATTGCCAGGGCCCTGGCCTCTTCCTCTTTTTGCATCCTATTCTGACAAAATTCTCTTTAGCCCTGGCCACAACTACACACTAATTTCCCTTGGTTAAAATAGGGCATTGCATTGAGACTGGAGGTGCTATTGCTTACTTCCCTTGCTTTAGGCCATGTGAATGCCATGCTTATTTACCATTATCATGGATAGTCTCTCTTTCTATGTTTACTGGGCAATCTCTTCTAATAATGAGGCAGTAATGCAGTTTTCGGGTACGGTTGTGGGACAGGTTCAGGTTTCTCATCTACAATTTCTTATTTTGAGGTTCTAGAACAAGTCATCTTTATGTATTTTGGACGGCGTGCATTGCTTAATAATATCTCATGTATTTTGCAGCATAAACTTGACACCACCAAATTGAGTGAATGGCAGCCACCAGTGACCTTAAATTTCAAGGTAAATTTTAAGCTTGAAAACATAAACTGTTTTGCTAATTCTTCTGTTATATGGCAGACTGATTATTACACAGATAACAAACGTATAAAATTCACACTTTGCTGATTTTGAGTAATTTTGTTACAAATTAAACATATTGAAGACATCAATATTTTATATTCGTATATCACACGGATGATTTTACTTAGCACAATACTGTCCTTTGCTGACAATGAGACAACGATACAATTCCTTTGCACTACAGACATTCCATCCTTCAGATACAGTTTGGCTGTGCCACACTTGCGATCCTGTCACTGAGGAGACTTCGCCAGCTTCTGGATCACTATGAAGTCCAAAAGGTATCCCACCACACTCATGACCGGTAAACCCCTTGTAGATGAGTGCTGAAATGACTGCGGATGGCACCTCTCAGATCAGTGAGAAAACATGATGTCACCAGCACACCAAGGAGATGTGCCCAAAAATAGGATCTTTTATTGATGCGTAGACATATTGTAACAAGGATGGCAACATTTTGGGGCCACGCAGGATCCCTTCATCAGGCTTAATATGGCGATCATATTAAATCCGATGAAGGAACCTTGCGTGGTCCCGAAACGTTGCCATCCTTGTGACAATATGTCTATGCCTCAATACAAGATGTTTTGTTTGGACACTTCTCCTCGGTGTACTGGTGACATCGGTTTCCTCAAGGATCACTATGAAGGACACGACAGGGAGGTGAATCGCGAACTGCTTGCATGTGTTGCTCCTTTACTGGCTGGACGAGAGAGGAATCGCTATTTTGCCATTGACTTGACTTATGTTCTGCAGTGACATGCAAAGCACTTTCTTTGTATATGTTGTTCCTCTGGCATCTTCGGCAGCAAAATGATGCCCCCTCACTCTGAAGCTGCTGGCAAGGGAGCGTCTTACATAAAGAAGGTGAGTGTTCTCCCTGCATAGTCTTATGGCAGGTGTGACATCAGCCTTATTGCAGTGAAATAAAAACCTTTGTAAATAATCAGCACCTGGTTTGTTCTGTCTGCAGAAGTGGTTGAGGTATCTATAGTGTCCTGTAAAAAATGGTCCTAGTCTGCTGCTTACTGTGAATGTTTGGTTGCAGTTTATTAAGTGCAATGCTCAAAATACTTCAAGAGTCTGTATAAGCAGCAAATGTACAATGGCTCATAATGGCAAGCAGTGCCATTGAACTTCTGTGTACAATTAGAATCTCAGGAAGGGCTATTTATCTCTAAAATAGACCTTAATAAAATATTGTCTCAATTTAATAAAAAAGATTGTAACCCTCCACTTGTAAAAACGAACAACAAAACACCTTTTTGGTCTGGACTGATAGGAAACTAACACTTTCCGAAAGTAGTCAATAATGGCAGCCCGTGTATTCCTCTCAGCATAGTTTTCCTTTAAAGCGGACCTTTACACTCAAAAATCTCATTCTACCAATGCATCCCTCTATGTATGATGACTAATAAGAATATAGACATGTCAGGTGTAAAATGCTGAGATTATGAAATACTTACACTTGCAGAGCGTTCACTTCCTGCTTTGAAAGGGCAAAATTACTTCAGTATTGGCAAAGCAATGCACACTGGGATTGCCTTGTCATCAGCAGAGCTTTGCTGGGATATCTCATCTGTAATCTTACGAGATCTCAGGGAAAGGCATTTTCCTCCCCCAAGATGATGTGCATGGTCACATGTCCTAGTCACATGTGCCAGGAATGCAGGAAGTAATAGGAGAGCTAGTAACCTGCCCTTAGTGAACATGGCCACTGCCAGAAGACTGGGAAAGAAAAGAGAAATGAGGTATGTAAAGTATACAAAGCCGGCAATTATCTAGAAGTATGTGTTTGTAGATTGTCATTACTAAACATTTCTAAAGGTGTGTTTGTTGTTATTTTACAGAAATGGGTAAAGGTCTGCTTTAACTGTCAATCTTTATTTTTTATGTCTTTGGCTATGAGATTTGCAGAGTAACTTTAACAGTTTTTCTTTGTGCCACCCTACAGAGTTTGATGATGCAGCTAAATTACTAGCTGTAAACCCCGATGCTACCACCGTGAATATCAGTGATACTGAAGATAGCAGTGGGAAGAAGAAGACAGGGTGGCAATCCAGAGAAGAGGAAGAGGACTCGCTGGGAAATGAGGATTCTGATAAAACAGAGGTGATATAGAGGAAAAGTCGTGGGGATTACATCTCGGTTGTCTGATGGTTGCAAAAATGGCACTCGGTGTGTAAAAGGTTGCTGACCCCTGCATTAGGGCCTTATTCATCAAACTTTCTGAAATAATAGCTGTCTGTATTGCCTGACAGAAATCAGCTTTAACCATCTAGTGCCCAAACTTCATTAAAGCCTTAATGCTTAATGTCCAGTCCACATTTAGCAGCCCTAGTATGCATCAGTTAACATGACTATAACGGTATGACTTATTCTCTGTTCTGTTCTTTTTGTATAA